ATGTTCTGAACAGACTGAAATAATGGTCGTATTTTCTATACACAAACTTGAAATGAGCAGTGTGTAGCGGTGTAAGTATCATTCATTATACATATATATTTCCTGCTGTGCCATAAATCATATGTTAGTATATTATCTCTTTAGTTTCATAGAACTTGTTGATTTTTTAACGATTAATTCATTTTTTTGATTCAAATTATTGATTTATTATATCATAATTGATGAAATAAATGCCTTTATTAGTATTTATTATGATAGTTTTATATTAGTATAAAATAAACCTTTTTAAATAAACCGTTTAAAATACTCTATTATAAATCGGTGAGATAATAAAATAATACCATGTTTTTAATGCATATTAAAAAAAAAATTATAACTCGGAAAAGTTTGTTTAAAATACAAAAGCAGTAGCTTATGACCAGTGTTGGAAATTTTACTCACGGCCCGCACTCTAGAGGTTAATCAAATTTTAAGTGATGTAACAGTATTTTAATGTACTTATTGATTCACACATATCTTCATTTAGATCATTATTTGACAGCTTAAAAATATTTTGACATTGACAGCAATGGCAAGGCGAGTACGAAATAAAGACAGATTGAAACTTTTAACATCAACAATAGGACGTAATAAAATAAAGCTGTACACGTACACAATCAACGTCCGACATCATTCATCGATTAGAATCGGTCATTGTATCGAATCGTAATCGCGTGTCGTAATCGATTTTATCAATCGGTACGAAAAAAATAATTATTTCCGACCTTACTCAAGCGGTTAATTGTTGTTAGAATAGCTCACTCACAATTAATTTAATTATGGACGTTGTAAAATAGTTGCGAGTTACATAAAACACTTACTACTGAAGTGACTGAGGTCAAAGTGGGTAATAAAATTTATTAATCGATAAAAATCATAACGATTTGTTGTGACCTCTTATTTGTGTAACTACTACTAAAAAATCAAAACTTTTAATAGTATTGGAGGATTACTTGTAAACTTAACATTTTCAATTCATTGAATATAAGACATTATTATTCTACAACTTTTGATCTAACTCAGAAAAGCTAAGATTAATGATTTTCTTCAATTTATCTTGTGAATTTATTTGAAATTACATACATTGCTACCTAAAAACTAAGACAATTACAGTCATCGTTTTGAAATTGTAAATTTAATATTAAATAGATGTTAGTATCTAATATTAATTTAACTTTAACTTTAGCTTCGCCAGATAAACTTTAGGAAATTATATACATTCTTAATAAAAAATGAAAAGAATCTCTAATCCAAAATGCTACTACAAGACTTTTTCGATGACAAATAGAATTTTATTGAACATAAACTATTTATTGTTTTAATTAACGAGTTCTCCTCTGCATTTTTTATATCTTTTATTATTATTGTTGTTTTTTTATTAACGGATTGTACTGCTTTAATAATTAATGTATTTGAAATTAATTAGTCTACCATTTATTGCAATGCCAAATTTTTTTTCCTCATTGTTCGTGTTGATACGAAATAAATAACTTAGCTTTGACTTTGTATTTATTATTTACTTCGGTAATATTCCGGATTATTTACTGTTTTTGTTTGCCACTAATATCTGATCTGATTTTAAAATCTAGTGATGTTTGCTCTGCTTAATCAGTGATCTATTTTGGAATAGCTACTGCATTAAATGTATATAAATAATAATGTCTGCTTAAATCTAAAGACAGGAAGGTTATACATAGGTTTTAATATCTTTTATCTAGATCCATATTTGCAGTGGCAAATTAATTCTTAGAAGTCTCTTTTCAAGGTTTTTCAATGCATACAAAGATTTATTTAAATAAGTGAGTTATTGTGAACACCCGAGCAATAAATCTCTTGGGGCGTGTGTAGCATGTTCAAGGTAGTGATGCGAAATATATTGAATCAATATCTATTATTCGCAGATTTGCTTAATTAGTTATCCATGTAAGACATACGATTTATTTATTTTTATTGTGTATACTAGAGTCTAGATCACGACCTTACTCAAAGTCTAAAATAATCTAAAATAATCAAAATAGTCAAATCTATCAAGATGATTTTAAGCCTTAACGTCTTGACAATTAAGCTCGAAATTGATTGCAAAAATTTGTTATTTTATAATAAACTGTGATATAAATTTTGGATAGTCCCGGCCATGTGTATTTATCGTTTATCATCCAATTTTGCTTTTTATTATCGTAATTAATTGACTAAATATGTAACCAGAGATTTGAGTATATAATTGGATGACTTGTTATAAGACTTAAATTTATATTTATAATAAATGAATTTCTTATAATTAGTGAAATTTGACGATCTACAATATCATCTTTTAATACTGTTATTAATATTGGAAAAATAATTGAAAAAATAACTGTAAGAGTTCTTTTTCTAAGTAGAGGAAAATAATCAAATATGGAAAAGTATTAATATATAACATGGACTACTTATATTACTTTCTAAATTATTGTTAAGAAGAAAATTTGGCACACTTTAAAATGCAAAATCGTTTGCGAATATTCTGGTCTCATTGATAATTTACAAATTTTTCCTCATTACGACGAGAGGCGAGAGAGAGTTATTCAAATTAATTTTTGAAGATAATCTTCGTTTGAAGCGGTGTATTTTTTACATACTCGTAAATGAATCGCTCAGAAAAATAACCCTTTTACATATATCAGTACATCACTACCACAAAGGGCGACCGATCAGCAGTGCAGCCTTGACCTAAACATGGTTACTCGTAATCAGATACCAGTTGTTATTGCATTTGTTTCTCGTAATAATCACTATACCAACATAATGACCTCTAAATGTTGACCAAAACTTAGGATATCTTAACCATTAATTATGTGAACGATGGAGTCAATTTGTTTTATGAAGTCTCGGCACATTAGCATTGAAGCTGATTTGCTAGAAGACTTGGTGGTTTTAGTATTGTTTTATGTCAAATATAATAAGTTTTTATTGCTATAGTTTTATCGAGTATTAATAATAAATACATATGTATTAGTATACTATGTAAAACTACGTTTCTTTTAATACTTTAATATAATTTAAAATTTAATCTATGAGGTTTCTTCAGTTCAAGTGTATTATTGACTCTAACTATATAAAGTTCTTTTAAAATAGTTTTTTTTTGTATGATATAAAACATAAACAAACCTTTTGAACAAAATATTTGAAGAAGCTCTGTAACAATTCAATAATGTCTTTTCGAGTATTAAATCGTAACTTCAACTTAAAATACTCATAAATAATCTCGACCAAAGAATTTGTATCTTATTAATGTTGAATAGAGTACAAATTCGTAAATATATTTACAGTGCCCAGTCAGTTCCCGGTCCTTTATCGGTCTAAATGCTGAAATTACAGGCATGGTATTATCGAGCACGCATACCTCGGTATTTTCTCAACAATTTTTGCATACCTCTCTGGGAACCCTCCGCTAGAGGTTCCTTCAGTCTAATTAACAGGTACAATGCAACCTGTATTGGATTGTATTTGGACTTTTTTTGAATCGATTGTAGCGTATGTATGTAATTTGGGTCAAACGATTCTCAGAGAATGTTAATTTTGTAAGATTTTAATATAAGAGCTAGTGTTTTATAGACTATGATCATTTTAAACGCTGTTGCAGAAAGGGGATAACTAAAGTGTAATATTGGAATTTGTCTATGTAATTTGCATAAGAAAAATATAGCAATGTTTGTTTAGTATTTATTCAATTATGTTATTTAGATATACATTCTTACTTTTTAACCCTATTTTCAGCATGGTCAATCTCAATTGGCCTGATGTTTGATAGATAAGAATTGTTTTCAAAGGAGAGGTTGTATAACTTGGAAATGTTTTAGTCATCACATGTTAAAAATAGCTCACCAGCGCGTTAGATGATAATATTGTTTCACAACAATTTTAATAGTTACCGATGGTTACAGACGTATCTGCGTATCACGCAGAAGGGTATTATTGCATTCGCACAATATTTTAAGCTTTCATATTTTTCTCTTTTTTATGATGTAGTCAATGTTTTTAAATAATTGAGTTATCATTTTAAATATTTGAAAAACTGGGTATTCACCTTGTTACAATCAATTTGGATGAATCTTAGGAAACTAGAGAATAAGAAAAAAAATTATTTCATCGATTTATAAAAAAACCTCCAGCAAAAAAGAACTCATATATATTTAACTTCTATAAATTTGCATCATGTAAATATAGAGATTTCAATTAGTTCCTACGATCAAATATTAATACACTCATAATATTTAGTAACTTCAAACGGAGAGAAATGACAAATGAGCTCTCCGCCATTAATAACTATTTACGGTCATTACTCAGCAGAAGTAAGCTGATGCGTCTACTAAACATATTGCTTAGAAAAGATAATTATTTACGCTTCAATCTTACTTGATTACCGATTGAGTATGTTCGCTAAAAGTCGATATATGTAAATCGATTTTACGCTAAAATAATTTGGTCTACATTTTTTGTATCGATTATGAAAATCGATATCAAGTAGTTACGTCACAACAAGATAAAATATTGTTCTGACATAAAACAAGATACTAAAAGCAACGATACACAGGTAGATAAATATGGAATCGGACACAATAAAATACATTCTTGCTCCGGATACTATAGAATTTAATTCACAAATCTTAATTTGGATGATATTTAAAAACAACTGAATAATAATCTCTTTCTTATTACCAGGTAGAAAGTTTCTAAAAGGTAGTAAGTTTCAGTCAGTGTTTACAAAAACTTAAAAAAAATAGTCTTTTTATTTCCATGTAGGTTAAAAGATATTATTTTATAAATTTATTATTTGATCTACTAATAAAGTAATTTTTACTTATTAAAATTAACACTTACAAGATTATTTTGAATATATATATGTAATTTAAAAATCTGGACATACTACGAATATTACTAATATCTGAACTAAAAGTAGCTTCTTCTATATAAGTTCCTCTGTCCTAAGTGCACATTCTCAGAGCACCAAGATCGCCCTTTACTAGTCTAACCTCGATGCATCTAAAGAGGTCAAGAGCGAACCTATCTAAAACAAAAGACTACCACCATTTGCCTTATTACGAACCAATTTAAGAACCAAAGTGTTTACAATCAACCTCTTTATTGACACAACACAAGCATATAGTGTTGCCATCTTATTTATTGGAAAAATATAAATATAAGAAAAAAATCTATCCAATATTTGAGGTTTGCACCCATTAAAAAAGTGGTTATATTCTTAATATGTATCACGATTCCATCGTCAATTTTTAACTGATATAGAATTGTTTTTTATTAGTTAACTATTTTTTTTTAATCCGAGAATGATGTAACGTAACCAAAATAAGTTCATACAATTTTTTTCCGAACTATCAATTATAATTATAAATTACACTGCAAAATAAATATTTTGTATTTAATAAAGTTAAAATAGTTAAAAAAATATAAAAAAACGGTCAAGTGTGAGTCGGACTCGCACACGTAGGGTTCCGTACCGTATAATAATATGATACTAATATGCAAAACTATTTAACAATAATTAAACACGCGACTACTCCAGCAAGTAAAAGTAATACTTGTGTTGGACATATGTCGCTTTTACCATTGTTTGTAAATATTCGATAAATGTACATAGATTGTTGAACTGAAGCGCGTATATATGCGAATTATATCTACAGTCCGCAAATCCGTAGAGTTAGCAACACTGCTTGCCTATACTTATATAACCTAGACTTAAATCGTGATGGTAGGTATATTTATCATATCATCACTGTGTACGAGGGAGGGCATCGCTTAGTTGGCAATTATCAGCCTATTGCAACCGTTCTTACATTTGCCTTTCATTCCACGGTAATTAGAAATAATTATATACTATTTGTAGTGATGACTAATATGTGTTTGTACTTAAATTCCATGGAGGTATAAACGTGTATAAATGAGATTTGCTTGGTCATAACACATTATTATTATTAAGAATAGCGTTATTATTCTGTACTTGCGTTAATGTTGGAAGGAATTTATAATTTAGATATCTATTTTTTCTTAAATCCAGATCAAATTATCAATAAAACGTTATATAATCTTACCAATATTATTTCACGTACTTCACGTCCGATTGTCTTCAGGCTAAAAGCGCACAGTTGATTTTTTATCGTGACTTTTCCGTCTCCTGTCACTGCGCTTAAGAATCCTTATGGAAATACGCTCATTTGTACACGTGACAATTACGCGACTTCCACATAAAAGAAAGGAGCACGGTGACAGAAACATTAAGCCACAATTACAAAATCAGTGCACGCTGAGCCTTACGGTAATATACCTAATGCCTAAAAATATGTAGCTTAGTTCATAATCATCATCATCAACATCCATACTACGCCAACTGTTGAGTCTATACTCAACAGCTGGCGTAGTCCCTCCCCCGATTGATCTTCATGACGATCGGTCCTACGCTGCCCGCAATCAGCCGCTAATCTAATTCACAGATAAATAATACGCGATTCTCTTTAGTGAAATATCAAATTGACTTAATCCAGAAGCTTGTTTGAAGTGTTGATTAGTTGTTGTCAGTAGAATAGTGCGAATGAGATCTATTTGAATGAAGGCTGGTCAACCGTCACGGTTCGGTAGTGTCGACCATTGTATTGCAGCTACCGTCAACGCCCATTCATTCATAGAGCCAATCGTTGTTATTTGCTTAATAAATATAATGAGTACGGATAAATAGAGGTGTCATATAAAAGAAACAGTTAAATATGTATTGGGTAATTTGATATTTCTGAATAAATCTGCATATGTAAAGCGGTGACGACGATTGATTGCGAAAGGAAATAAAATTTGCAAGTTCAATTAAAATATAAGGTACTTTTGAAATTTTGGATTGACAAATGTAATATAATTCATATATAACGTCATAAACGAATTGTAAGGATAGAAGGGGTCTTTACAGAATAACTTATTTGATTGCAATAAATCTTACCTATAAAATTTTAAAATAATTAGTTGTTTTCACGCTATCTTAAAACAAATCTTCGGCGTTATAAAAACTTAAAAAAAAAAATAGAACTGACATCAAACTTGAATAAGTCGCTTTAGTGATGAGCATTATTTATCACCTTTTTCAAGTTTGAAGTCAGTTCTATTTTTTTAAGCCTTTATTGATAAATATAAGTTTCCTATAATAGGTTACACTAAAATTATTAAATAGATATTGTATATTTAATAATTGTACTTTTTTCCAATAGTTATATACTCATAATTATTCTAAAGAGGTTCTTTTGTTTGCTTGTTTGATTGCATTAAATAGGCTCCGAAACTATTGGACCGATTTATAAGTCTTTCATCCTGGGGGAAGCTACTTTATACGCGTTGGACATAGGCTATAATTTTCGCAAGCGAAGTCGCGGCGAAACAGCTAGTTGGATAGAAATAAGTTCACAATTCAAAAAGAAATTGACATTGACCTACATTATTATACTTCTTGAACATAGAAAATATTCCTTTCGGATTTTGAATTAATTCAAAATGCACAATCTTTTATTTTTTATCGGAAAAACATAAAATACAATAAATATCATATAAATATTTTGGTGATATATGGTGAAAAGTGTATTTTGTTTTGTTATAAAAGGAAAACTACTGATTCGATTTAGATAAAATTTAAATGGTATCACCTCGGTTCATCAAGCTGCCGAATAAAACAAGAAATTTGAAAATCGATCAACCATTGGTGGAATTATCGATGATGGTACATAAAAAAAACCACACATCGCCGTCGAACATATAACTTCTCTATAGGTTGAATTATGTATGTTTTTATTCTTTTAATTTTTAAAGGGTTTTAATTCTTTTGAATATGTCATCTCCATCATACCATACTTAAATCTAAATTAATTTTATGAAAATGTTTCACTAGGGAATTTTTAGAGTATTTACTACAATTTATGTTAAATTTTAAGACTTGGGCTCTGCTAAAGTACTTACTTTGAATTAATCCAATATCTAAAACGTTTAATTTAAATTCTTTCGTAAATAACTCCCTCTCATCTTTGTTTCTGATACACACCATCAGCAAATGTGGTACATCTTCAAATTATTGCAGGTGTGAAATTTATTTAAGTCAGTCACTTTCAGTAAACATATGTGTAAAGTTTGCCGACGGGTAGTCCAGAACGGAGTATTAAAATCAATTTAATGTATATTCTACTTATTATAATATTATCAAATCAGGTTTCATGAATTATGTATGTTTTTCATTATACTAATAAATTAATGTTATTCATATTTTCGACATATTATTTTGTATAAAATATATAACTATTTTATTTCAACATTGTTAGCATTTAACGTTTCCAAATATTCTAAAATGTTTTATTGCAATCAGAATTTGAAAAATATTAAAAAAAAATCAGTTAAAATTATTTATGTCGATTCTAGAATTCTTTGTTACTTCATGAATAAGCAAATACTTTTCGAATTCACAGTGGAAATAATATCAACAGATCGACGAGCACAGCCTCTAGGCAGCATCGCTAACTTTATGCAAACTGCTGTTCCCACGATATTAGCTCCTCCTGACGTTTATCGGGTCTTCGTAACTGTTTTGAGTCTTTTTATTGATGCTTTAAAAGACAGAGATATAACAAGATTTTGACAATAAATGTAGTAAATCTAGTTTTTATTATCTATCTATTTTATGTCGCTAAATATGATCAAACAAATTATTTGAATTGTAAGCTAAAAAAAATATTACAGTTTATATATATATTTGAAATATTACAGTTTCACTATTTTTGCTGACATATTGCTTGGAAAATTTGTTATTTCTTTTTAAAAGTATTATCTAGTCAAAATATTTATGTTGATGTCAAACAAAAATATTCAATTATTTGACAAAAACATTAGAGTCCGAATATACGAAATACTTATAAGCTATTAAAGTTGCCTAATGACACAATCATAGAAAATAACAGACCAAAAGAAATACAGTTTATTTATATATTCTGTTTCAATATGCTAATCCTATTAATATTACATAATGCGACAGTTTTTGAAGATGGATATATGTATATATATTTTTATTACTTCTTCACGAAAAAAACTACTGGACGGATTTTGATGAAATTTGGTAAACGGATACTTCTGAGCGCGGATTAATATATAGGATACTTTTTATCTCACTGAACAGTTCCCTGGAACTACGTGGGCGAAGCCGCTGACGAAAGCTAGTTCTCAATAACACAAAATCGAATCAGTAGAATCATTATTTTTTTTTACAAAACTAATAAAATCTTAAATAAATCTGTGAATTGTTCCGAATGGCGTGAGGCGCGGGCGTGACACCGCCCAGGTTCGATTCCCTGCAGGCACCATTAGGGCCAATAACAATCAGTCGGTAGCAGTGGCGCGGACCGCTAATTTTCTCTAATTTTCCTATCAAAACCGATACGCCGCCGGTTTTTTTAGCATCGGTAAGTCGCGGGACCGTGAGAACGGCCTTTGTTACGTAATTACGGATTTTTGCAAACATTTTTGCGTATTAATTTTCGTCGTATCACGTGATGTTGGAACTAAGGACTTCGTTGTTTTTTTTTTGTTTATGTGAGATGTTTACATTTTTTAAGTGTTTTCAAAGGAGACTTTGCAAGCAAGCTGATAGCAAAAATCAATGAACGTACAGCATGAAATGGTTTTATTTACGATTCTAAACTTAAAGCACAGTACTGTAAAGTAAGAGTGATAAATAAAAAATAAAATAAAAGGGGGTGATGTTAGAAGCAATAAAAAGCCTTACTGGGTCGTGCATTTTTTGTATTTTGCAACATATATTTCTTTCTGCGTATTTCTGTCAGTAATAAATACTCGTGTGCAGTGTTGGCGTAAGATACTTGTTTTTAGCATTGTACATGCAAAAGGTATCAAATTTTCATAATTTGTACATATTTTCTTTTGAATTGAATGTTTAAATATACTTTGGAAAAAGTATATTTTTCGGTACTTGAGGTATCTTTAAAATCTTCAGTAGCTCAATTTCTAGAGCAATCGACCGGTAAACTAAACGTTACCTGTTCAAGTTTTCTTCTTCGAGCGTTTGAATTGGTTTTTAAAGTATTTTTTACATAGTATAAAAAGTTACTTCGCGCTGTCTGTACGCTGAGATCTTTAAAATACACGTTTTGTAATTTTCATCAATACAAAAGTGACTAAAGAAGGACACGAGGTCATGCCGTCGAACGAAGCAGCTTCCTCTTCTATCATTATACATTAACACCCAATCAACCAATTCGTGATGGGCCCGGGTGGTTCTGGCTCGTTCGATTTATCGTTCCATCAATAGGGAAGGCCTGTGCCCCCACAGTGGGGACTTTAAGAAGCCGATGAAGATAATGATTTATTATTGCAAAAAAATATCTACAAAAAATCTATAACGTATACAAAAAAGTAAATTTCTCAGAGTCTGAATGTTAACGATGTAGTGCCACGTGTCAGATTTTTTGCGTATTCAAATACCTAATTCTCGTTTTGACCTTACTCGTTCGCGGCGAATCGCTTTGTAGTCGGAAACGCGTAGCTATTAAAATTTAATAGTGTTACTTTGAGGCAATATTAGAAAATGGCGTAGTGGGTACTGTTTTAATTGGTGAATGTATATCGATTCTTACTAAATTAACAAAGGTCGAATATGGTTATTTAAAAGACTAGTTACGCAAGTAAACCATACGTCGTAGACAAGTCTTATGGTTATAAAATATAAAAACATTTCTCATATAAAAATGCAACGTTCTATAAAAATAGTACATCGACTGCAAACACAAACTTCAGTTACTGAATTTCAACTCTTCAGAAAGAAAATGTAGCGTGTGTTATGTAGAGTCTTTTAAAGGGTGTAAGTACATTCATTCTTTAATTTTAGAAAACAAGAAAACACCAATGTTTTAAGGCTATTTTTATCGTAATAACTGCATATCTATAGAATCTCAACTAATTCATGTCATTATTCTATCTATCTGAAGTCTGATATTATTGCGGTGAAAGATATATTTATTATTTTGTGATCTAATAACAAGAACTGCGTTACAAAGAGTTGTAATTGAAACAATATTGAATTCCCATAATAACGCTAACATTAGCAGAATTTCCATGTACTTCTTCAGCCACAGCAATTAAGAAACAGTATATTTTTTTCTAGTATCTCTCTATAGAATATCTTAGAAAGTTTTTTTTGTATAAAATTTATTGTAAAGTCAACTCTTATCATATCCCTTGATCAATGAAAGAGTAAGGCTAGATTGCCCCATAACATCAGTTAAACTGGACGGTATCAGTTAAAGTTATGAAAAGAGAACCTATTACTTGGGAAAACTGGTATTTAAACACGCTTGTTATAGTTAAAGTAAGCTGGTGCAACCAACCCAAAAAGATAATATAATAAACATCATTACATAGTATAAAACAAAGTCGCGTTCTCTGTTCCTATATCCCTATGTATGCTTAAATTATTTTTTTAAATAAACAACGCAACGGATTTCGATGCGGTTTTTTTCATAGATAGGGTGATTCAAAAGGAAGGTTTTATGTATATAATACAAGACCACGCGGGCGAAGCCGCTGACGGAATGCTAGTAAATTATATATTTAATTTAGCTTCATTTTCAATGTTCGGAATTTAAAACGATTGCATTATTTTTTTTTATACATATAAAGAAAAAAGCAAATGTGTACCGACCTTGTTGGAAGTAATTGGATTTTCTGACGTACACACAGACTAGGGCCATGAGTTGCAGCTGTGAGAGCCGCTGTCTGGTGGAGGGGGGCAGAGGTAGCAGGTCCCGAAGGTTGGCGATCTCTGCGTTTATCAGGTCCCGGCGGAGTTTGCTTGCGCCTTTCGTCGATTTGCCTTGATCGAACCTGAAGAAAAGATTTTATTTTCAATTAAATTTGAATCGATATTATGTTTATTCGCCATCTTGGCGTGGGTGGTCGATCTGATTAGAGTCATATTTCAGTATATTTACATAAAACCTTAACTGACAACCAAAACCTTCCTCGTGAATTACTAAGATTATTAGGTTAGAAAATAAGTCAGATTTTGAATTTATTGTGTTACAAACAGACAGACGGGGAGTCTAGTAATCAAGAAAAAAAAATTGCTGAAACTATGCAACATTCGCGAGGGATTATCATAGGATGGGTGACCAAAAATTTATCATCTCGAATTCTTCCGTGCTTCAGACGACAAGTGAAGTCGCTTGGCGGCTCATGGTCCATCATCCCCATTTCTATTTATTTCCATCCATGGGGCAGGCCGTTGGCCTAGTTATAGGAATATTAATAGTATCATGATAAAATCATAGCAAACTTTTTAGTGCAGTCTATAAAAATAGTCAGTTAGAGGAGTCATAAAATGTTCTGCCAATAATGTTTGCATTAGAGTAATACAAAGTATTATAAAACTAAAAAAATACTATTTTAATTCCTATGTAAGCTGTATTTATTATAATTATATATCAATTGACTATTTAAAACTAAATGCCAGCAATTATTAGTTCTGATATTTGGTATACCATTCAAATTTAGAACACGTTCTGATTCGAGTCGGTGGCAGAATTCAAGTTGAGTTTAAGAGTATTTTAATAAATCCATTGGCAGAATTCAATTAAGTATTTACGTTATTATAAAATTAGTTCCAGTATTTCAAAAGTCGAACGCCTTACTTACCGAATATCAGCAATTATAAAAAATCTCCCAATAAAATATACCTATACGCATCAAAACGCGCGAATTATTTCTTAAAAACATGCGAATTAACCTTGGCTTGGTTGGAATCGATAATCGTATCGTATAGAGGTCGAATAGCGAAATCGAGAAGTCATTTTGTACGTATATAATTCGGAAGTGAGCTATAAAATTTAAGATGCACTTAGCGTTTCTGAAAATAGCAAGACCTATTATAATGATGGATACTTTAGACTATTATTCAAAAGCCAAGTAGTCATTTAATTGAAAACGCTAGTGTATTTATTAATTTTTACATATTAAACAAGTTCTTTTAAATATCTAAGTCAGTAGTTCTTTAAATAACATTATTAACACACACTTTAATAGTAAATCGAAATCAATTTATAGGATAATAATTTAAGTCTTAGGAAAGATATTTCGAGAAACGCAAAAACAATTTAAATTTATATAGAAGGAAGGCCTGTGCCGTAGCAATGGGGATATTAAAAGACTGGTGGAGATGTGACGCCGTCTATTTATTCATGTGAAATATTTCTTATTTTTAGTAGAAAAACCAACACAAAATCACCGAAGTAAATTTAATTTTTTTTAACAATTTTTCGTATTCTCAGTTACCGTGCCTTTTAAATGCTCAGCTGCTCGCTTCTTGTATGCAAATACAAAACCTATACTTAATTCTCATAGTATGTCTTCTCTATAATTATCGATGGTGTAATATTATTTAAAAGCGTTAAATGTGCGTATTTGCGCTTCGACATTTTAATGTAGGATATGCTACTCGTTGCATAAATTATAGCGTTGATTCTGTGTAACATAATTATATATGTGTTGTCATTATTTAAAATTATGATCGGGCTAATGAAAAGCTTTGTAAATGTTAGTTAAATTGAGGATGGTGATGTGCATGATAACCCACCTGGAATGGTTATAAAATGTATAAGTATTTAGATAGTACAGTTTAGTGCTCATATATATTGTAAATATCAAGTTAATAATTTTGATTCTAATCTTCTAAATTGAGGTTTACCGCTAATAGCTTCTCTCTTCCAGACAACCTTTGATTCGTTGAACATTTGGAGAGAAAGCCTGGAAGTAGAGTGCCAACAGTAAAAAAGAAAGCGATAAATAAAAAAAAAAAGTGAAGAAAGTTTTCATTTTTTATCTTCAAGACAAAATTTTCACGATATTTTAAGGTAACAAGGTATTCGTGAGTTTGTATATATACGAGTATTATATTTTACTCCGTTTTCAATAGTTTCTTGAATTATTTCCCATATTTAATCGACTTTATAATCGAAAAGGAGGAGGTACTGCGTTCGACGGGTATGTTTTTGTGTACTTATATGATGTTCTCTGAATGTTTCGCGAATTGGTGATAGAAAGTTAGACCTGAGTCTTCTTCACCTTCACAAACTATAACCTATGTGAGCCACGTCTGACTAAGCTTCTAGTAGGTGAGAGGATTAAATTTTAAAATCGGTTCAGTAGTTATGAAACCTATTTGCTGCAAACAAATATAAAATGAAATCTTTCTTCTTTATAATATTAGTAAAGATGGCTGTTATCGACAGCAAGGAACGTGGATAAATGAGCACAGAAAAATATATATTTTTAAGGAAAACATGAAAATACACAAGATACGAGAGCCAGACAACATATATACAATATATATATATATATATAAAACACTTCGGAAGGCACGTTAAGCCGTTGGTCCCGGCTGTATTTGCAGTCGTTAATACCCTCCAATCCGCATTGGGCCAGCGTGGAAGGTCATGGCCCATCCTCCTTAACCATCCATAAGGAAGGCCTGAGCCCCTGCAGTGGGGACGTAAAAAGGTTGATGATGACTTATCTAAAGAGACTGGCAAAAGCATCGTCAACAATGGTCAACATTTAGATGATTTGATTCGAGAGTGAGCCAAGTAACTTTTACTTTATTTTCTCATTTACTACGAGTAAATGCAGCTAAAAAGACAGATTTCCCGCACATTTAACTTTATAATCCTATCTGCCGGTTGAACTGGCGACCCCGTCCGTTTAAATATTCCATCCTTGTTATTCCGCGTGATGGCTGTTCGCGGTACCCCTGCTCTTTGACCAGCAGCGGTAGTAATCTATACCGTTTAGTTCTGCCGCGTCAACATGTCACTTACCGCGGTATAGGTGAGATATGTAATGTTAATATGCATGTACGAAATAATGACAAGATAGTGAAAGGAAAATATTGTTTAATTACTGTTTTTAATATTTTATATTCTTTTTTTTCACTACAATATTTAGATAAAAATCTTTAAATAATATTTGTTTAAAATAGGGTAGGTGCACCAATGACAATCCGATGTGGTGGCATTTTTAAAACTAATGTGGATGATGTGTGAAAAATGCAACAACCACTGCGAAAATATGTTCATTGTACTCCTTATTCATAATGTTATCGTGTAGGTAATTAATTTTTTTCTAATCGCTATTTAAGTTTTTTATGAAAAAAAATATATGGTTAGTCTCAATGTGCCTAAGATGGACCATGATGTAGATGGCATGTTTTTATTATGTTCATATGATTGGTAGAAGTACAGCAACACCACTAAACGTAAAACGAAAAAACTTTAAATAAGGTTTGCAATTCAATTGGTTCCAATTCCTAGTGAGGGCCAGGCACGCCCACCTTTTTGTTTTAATTAACTCGCTTTAATATTACAAAATATAATATAATATCAAAATACCTGACGTTGGTGGGTTTTTTAAGCATTATTCATTAAGAAAACTGTGATAGTAATCTGATTATAGACAACGTGAAAAAATATTATAAATATAGGCAGTATCGATTTCATTCTTACGTTAGCAGCAGTTTGACAATGTGATGCTTTTATAGTTATTTAGTAAATAACATTGTATTAAATACTAATCATATGAGTAATCTCACAATATTAACCTGAAGTGTAGCAATTTTAGTACTACACATTTTATAATAAATAAGTATACTACGCATTTGTAAATAATAAATAATATCATTTATCTTCTCATAGAGATCATTATCAACATCTTACTGTAGGTATTTCTAATAAAGACACAAACTTTTTTGCAAAAAAAAACAAAGTTCAACTTTCATTCTCAACTTTATTTGTACATCACAATATCAAAGGTTCACACGCTCCGTATTCCATTATTAACATTTAACGATTCCTTGGGAACTGCTCGCCAGTCTTCAATCAGTGGCAAGAGGGGCGAGAATCGAGAATATTGATTGTGAGTGCGTTCCTGCCCTTATATTAACTAATATAGTGCAACACGCGATCTTCGCTCTGTGATCAAAAAGGATTGTTCCACTTGTGACCTGGAATATTGAATCTGCTCTTTAAAATATTTTTTAAATAAGCTTCCAGTGGTCTTTTACCCGCTTTTTAATATTTTTAAGTTTTATAATATTTGGAAAAAAACTTTGTGAATGGATATTTCATTAAATATGACATTGGGATTTTTACTTTTTATTTGAAATTTAAAAATTATTAGCTTGTAAAATATTTTAGACATTTTACATTATTACCGATCCGAAGTTTAAATATACTTGAAGATGACGATTTTATTTATCTCATAAAATTAATCTTTCCTTCTCTTTATTAATTACAAATTTGTATTATTCTACTAATAAAGAGGTTTACACTGACCGATGCTAACCCCATATTCTAGTATGACCTACATTTGTTGAATCATGATATTGCAGACCGGACTGTTCCATTTGAACTTTCCACATATGGCACAGCGAGTTATGTATTTCGGATGCGAGCCGTTGTTGCGCTGGCTAACAATGTTTAGATATTATTCCTAGTGAAAACCTCCTGTTTTCCCACGGAGCAAGCCGTTACAAAGGCAACTAATAATTTAGACAATTTTCCAATATCAGCTATTTTTGCGGTACAAGAGGTTAGCAATTGGCGTAATGACTGGAAGTATTGGTTTTAAGAAACTTTCTATTAAATGTTGAAATGATAAAATAATCTATTTTTATTAAATAACAGTTTTGTTATTTATCAGATGTTAGGGAACAGATTATTTTAATACATTAAATAATATTGAAGGCGAAAGGTGAAAAAGACAAAGTCCGAGTACAATTACTAGTTGAGTATGACTTTATTCTGTTGTGAAAAATAATTATTATCTATTGGGTTATATTTCAGTTGAAATTATGATATACGAGTACTTAATAAACATATACAATTTGCTATTTTAAATAGATCCTATACTCATACTATATTATTTTATAAGCCGCTGAGTTTGTGTTTTTGACTAATAATTATCATATATTATATTATTCATCAACTTGCTTTTTTAAGTTTTTTTACTAATCAAAGAAGATTCAACTTTAAATACCCAAAATGACTGGCTGCTTTATTCTGCAATTTTCTTTCTTAAATCGTTTCTTCTAGTAATTTGAGCCATACACCAAGTGCAGTACACACAAACCGCAACAGCGTATCGCTGTATGCGTTACATGGTACAAGCATTACCTATGGTGAGTTCCTCTATCGTTCTAAGACCAGTGCTCTATAAATCCCATACCGAGTTACCGTCCGAAAGCTTTATTACTACTGCTTGTTTCTGTTACCCTGGTACTTCCATCTAGATTTCATAGATTTATTGCTGGCTAAACAGATAGTAAGCTTCCCATGTGGTTCGCAGATGTTACCATATGCCGTTTTCTGATAAATTACACTAGGATAGCCTTCATGTTTTGTAGTCGGTACCGAATTAATTTCTAATATTATAGCGATCACGATAGATCTTATTACCATGTTATCTTTGGGGAGGTTTATTGCTGAGAACTTATGTAGTTCTAGTATCTGATATATTATTCATTGAGGAGATTCTCTTTTTAACCGACTTTAAAATCGAAATGGAGGAGGTTATATGTTCGACGGCAATCTATCTTTTTTTATGTATGTTCACCGATAATTTCGTTATTAGTTGACCAATTTTCATTATTCATTTTTATTCAACAACTTAATGGACCCGTTTAAATTTTATCGAAATCTATTAAGTTATGTCCTTTTATAACAAAACATTTATTCAAAAAAGCTGAAAGGAAGATTTTCTATGTCCAATGAGTATGTATACTACTCTTTGGTGTATATTTTTATGAAAGTCATAGATAGTAGGTATCAATAAGAAAATTATATTATACCTTTAGCTTTTGGCGGCGACTTCGTCCGCGTGCTAAATTTACTTTGAGCAGCATTTCTAACGAATATTTATTCATAATATCGTGTAAAATACCTGAAATAAAGTTTCATCCTCTATTTTATCCCCTTAGTGATGGAATTTATCAAAACACTTTCTTAGGAGATGCCTACGTCATAGTAACTTTATTCATGCGGAGTCTCAGCCCGATCAGTTTAAAATTTACAAAGTTTCATACAAACTTTCATCCCCTATTATATCCCCTTCGGGGTAGAATTGGTCAAAATCCTTTCTTAGAGGATGTTTAAGTCATAGTAGCTTTATGCATGCGAAGTCTCAGCCCTATCGGTTTAAAATTGACAAAGTTTCATACAAACTTTCATCCCCTATTTTATGCCCTTGGGGGTAAAATTGATCAAAATCCTTTCTTAGCGGATGCCTACGTCATAACATCTACCTGCATGTCAAATTTCAGCCCGATCCGTCCAGTGGTTTGGGCTGTGCGTTGATAGATCACAATGTCAGTCAGTCATCTTTGAGTTATATATATAGATAGGGGTAGGTCCAACGATTACTTCTTGAATTATGAATCAATTTATAGCTAACACTAGCTGCTATTTCCTCGCGACTTCGCCTGCGTCAATTATTGCCTATATCCGCTGCGTATTATGCGTAGATGAAATAGTTTTATAAATCGGTCCAATAGTTTCGGGGCCTATCCAATGCAGACAAACAAGCAATCAAATCTTTCTTATTTAAAATATGAATATAGATAATTGGACAAAATTATGTCGAGCAAATATACAAAGTTTGCTTTTCACTATATTGAATATTTTTATTTACATAGCCTCTTAATATTTTAAAAGATACCTATTTGATTATATTAGACTATTAGATCAATATCACTAAAAAGCATGAAATAAAATTTTTTGAAAAAAAGAACCGACCTTAAACTTAAAAAAAGTGATAAAAATACTAATCTCTAAAACGACTTATTCAAGAAAATATTATTTAAGTCGAGCGCCTATCATTTAATTAATAACCTACAGGAAAAATCCGCCCAACTTTATATAATTATTAAATACTAAATATTTATTTCAATATATTAATTGTTGAACAATCTTTTTTATTGAAAACATTTGATATATCTTTGAAAAACAATTTGTCATTTGTAAAGCAGAAACCAAGAATACATACCTTACGTTAGTCCGAAATGATTAAAAAAAAGGCTAAGTGCTCACAAAGGGTTCCGTGCCGAAAATGAGAAAACATCACATTTATTATAGGACACCCAACTTAAATATTTTTTAAATTCTGTCTTAAATATTTGTTGTTATAGCGGTAACAAAAATACATCTGTGAAAATTTTGAGTGACATCAGAGTGACAAATACATCTGTGAAATGAATTCATGAGATACAGTCTGGTGACAGAGGGATAGACAAACAGATGGACAGTGGAGATATAATAATAGGGTCCCGCTTTTGCCCCTTTGGTTGCGAAACCCTAAAAATCAAAAAGCATTGTTTTGTGGAACATTTGTATGTAGTCTATTTTTTTAAAACAAGCCATAATACATCTTGTTTCTTTTATTTTTGGTTTGATTTTGGCAGCCGTGTTTTTAATTTTAAACTATTTATTTTTATTCTATTGCTTTTAGTTTAGTTAATATTGTTCGTATAAAAAATCATATATTTTGCAATGTACTCAAAGAGACCTTTAATTTATTATTTTGTTTAAAAAAAATATAGTATGTGTCACTCGAGATAAAGTAATGTTACTAATGATACTTTACCTATATAAACAAACGAGTTTTTATTACACCAAAAATTATGAAAGACCGTATCCGTTAAGTCTTTCATAATTTTTGGTGTAATAAAAACTCGTTTGTTTATCAACATTTAACCATTCTATTATTTTTGCATACAAATGCACTAAGAGTGATATAAATTATTAAACATTAGAGTGCGAAAACAGACTGTTCAGTCGTTGAAGGAAAATGTAATAAGTAGTGGCCCTGCGGCGATTGTAGTAAAATTCCTTTTGATTACATGAGCATTATGTGCAAGAATTTAAACATATTTATCAGGCCTTTCGTCTATGTTCTTTATGTATACATAATGAATTCGTTAAGTTTTTACTTTTTGTGTGCTAATGACGAATATAATTATAGAATAAATATCACTTTAAAAAATAACAAATAATTTTCTTTCAGCAAAATACATCAAATAAGAATACCAGCTCAATTTAGCGATATCCATTAGAATAGCTAGATGATCTCCCTGGCTGAGTAGACCCACGTTTGATTCTCAGTTGTGTCAATGAAAAAAATGAACATTTCTTTTTTTTTTCTTAGTAAAATAACTTTGAAGAATATCGATGGTCTAAAAAATTTTTTTTTCCAATTGTTATATTTCCTAATAAACTGTATTCAAAATATTGTGAAGTCTAAATTTAATCAAACTTTTTAAAGAAACTTACCAGTATAAAAAATAAATTACCATAGACGAATCAATTTCTACCGTATGCTTGGATTTGCCAACTTCAACACTCGACCTACATAAAACTATGTAAC